ATCGTAATGACACGATTGCAAACAAACCATACCCCCGGCCGGGATTGAACCCGCGGTCATAGAGTCTCAAAACTCCAGCCCGCCGCGGGTTCAATCCCGGCCGGGGGTATGGTTTCCAAGAATCATGTAAAAAAGAGTATAATAACTTAGCTGCCTTCCTGTACCCAGCATAAAACAGTAGAAATTAAATAATTCATTGCTAATTTATTACTTAACAAGTGAAATAATCTTAAATATAATGAGGTAATTGTATCGATTGGATGCTGTAAATCATATGTAGCACACCGCTAAATGTAGTATTTATACAATGAATAACCACGGATTCTTAAAGTATAAATTAACAAAGGGGCACTGCTCCGTAATAATCAACACGGGGGGGAGAAATTCAGAAAAAATTAAACTGTATAATTCGACCCCCTTTTGGGATCCTCCCTTGTTTTGTTAGTTTAAAAGCATTTGTGTTTTATTTCGTATTTAGAATATTTGATATGCAGGGGAATCACAGGAGGCCCTACATGAGTGAGGGCACAAGACCATCGATAGTACTAACTTCCCCACAAGAGGCCCAGGACAAAGGGAAAAACACGTCGACGGAGGGTTTTTAAAAGAAAACTGTTGGCGGGGGGGCCTATCCTAGAGAGAGCCCAAGTGGATGGTGTCCCACCATTAGTGTTCCTGGGGTCTCATCCAGAGGGGCCAAGGGATGGTCCCCCAACAGGTTAGTTCCTTGGTTCATCCTAGGGGGGGGGCCAAAGGGGGAGGGTGTCCCACACAGGTTATGCCCTAGGGGTTTCCCCCTAGAGAGAGCAAGTGGGGGTGTCCCCACAGGTTATGCCTAGTGGCCTCACTAGAGAGGCCAAGTGGATGGTGTCCCAAAAGGTTAGTGTCCTAGTGGTTCATCCTACAGGGGCCCAAGTGGATGGTGCCCCACACAGGTTAGTGTCCTAGTGGCCTCATCCAGAGAGAGACCAAGTAAAAGGTGTCCCCACAGGTAGTGTCCTAGGGGCCTCCCCCTAGAGAGGCCCAAAGGGGATGGTGCCCCACACAGGTTATGTCCGTGGCCTCATCCTGAGGGGGACCAAGTGGATGGGCCCAAAACCATTAGTGTCCGTGGCCCTCTCCTAGAGGGACCAAGTGGATGGGTCCCAAAAGGTTTGTCCTGTGGTTCACCTAGAGAGAGCCCAAGTGGGGGTTTCCCACAGTTATGCCCTAGTGGTTCACCAGAGAGGGACCAAAGGGTGGAGGGTGCCCCACACGGTTTAGTGCCCTAGTGGTCTCATCCTAGAGGGGACCAAGTGGATGGTGCCCCAAAAAGGTTAGTTCCCGGGCCTCTCCTAAGAGAGACCAATGGATGGTGCCCCACACGGGTTTAGTGTCCTAGTGGTCCACCCTAGAGAGAGACCAAGTGGAGGTGCCCCCACAGATTGTGCCCTAGTGGTTCATCCTAGAGAGGACCAGTGGTGGTGTCCCACACAGGTTAGGTCCTGGGTTACCCTAGAGAGAGACCAATGGAGGGTTTGTCCCCACCGGGTTAGTGCCCTAGTGGTCTCATCCTAGAGAGAGACCAAGGGGATGGTGCCCCACCAGGTTGGTCCTAGGGGTCTCACCCAGAGGGGCCCAAGTGGACGGTTTTCCTACCGGGTTGTGTCCTAGGGGTTTCTTTTAGAGAGAGCCCAAGTGGACGGTGTCCCAACTTGTGTCCTGTGTTATCTAGAAAGGGCCCAAGTGGATGGTGTCCCAAAAGGTTATGTCCTAGTGGTCTATTAGAGAGAGACCATGGGAGGTGCCCCCAACAGGTTAGTGTCCTAGTGGTCCATCCTAGAGAGGACAAGTGGATGGTGCCCCCCCAAGTTAGTGCCTAGTGGTTCACCCTAGAGAGAGACCAATGGAGGGTGTCCCATACAGGTTATGTCCTAGTTTTTCCACCCTAGAGAGGACCAAGTTCGGTGTCCCCCCGGGTTTAGTGCCCTATGTTCCCCCTGAGAGGGACAAGTGGATGGTGTCCCACACAGATTTTTCCCTAGTGGTCTCATCCTAGAGAGAGCCCAAGGGGATGGTGCCCCACACGGGTTGTGCTAGTGGTTCCACCCTAGAGAGAGACAAGGTGGAGGGTGTCCCCCACGATTAGGGTCTAGGTCTCATCCTAGAGAGGGCCCAATGGCGTGTCCCAACAGGTTAGTGCCCCTAGTGGCCTCATCCTGAGAGGACCAAGTGGATGGTGCCCCACAGGTTAGTGTCCTAGGGGTCTCTTCAGAGGGGGCCCCAAGTGGAGGGTTTCCACACAGGTTAGTGCCCTGTGCTCCCCTCTACTAGATTTACGCTATTCATTTTACAAGCAAAGAATTTTGACATCGTCTTAGCTCATTTTTAATGCCCATCTTATTTTAAAGTACACTGCTACGTACCTCAGGGTCCCAAGTAAACTTTTATTTACTTCTGGGCGAAACAAGTTAAACTTGGCTATAATCTCACTCTGCCAACCCTTTTATAGGTCCTGCTCTTCTGTTATTATTTCGGTCGTTTAAAATTGAGAAACTGTAAAGCCCACGGAAAAATTATTTTTTCACAGTGTTGTTTTGCTATTTTTTTGATATCACCGTTTTCTGTTTTATTGCGCACGCACTTATGTACAACATGTTTTGGGACAATCCCGAGAGGGGAGGTGAGGATGGCCCCAAAACTGGGACGCTTTTTGCCTTGATAGTTCAAACTTGGGGGGACTTCATAATGAAAAGCCCTCGGGGCTAGGAACCGTGGGCCCACCTTTGAATACACAAGCTCAAGTGGAGAGGGTAACAGGGGTAGGATGGGGAAAACCCAAAAACAAAAGGGGGGCTACACGGGATGAGGAACTTTCCCGCAGGAGGTTCAGTGATAAAGAAACTGTTAGAAAAATCATAAACGAAAGATGGCTATTTTACAAAAAGATCAAAAAGGCAGAGGAGAGGTTTGTTCCCAAGGGCAATAAATAAGGGAAGACCAAAAAAAGTCCTTGGTTCACCCCAAAAGGTTTTTAGGAGGGAAAAGCTAAATGTCTAGGAATAGAAAAAGTACAGAAGACAAAGGACCCCGGGGAAAAAACAGATGCAAAAAAGGGCCCAAAACGATATGCACAGGTAAGGGGAGGCCCGCGACGATAGAAACAAAATATCGAAAGTCTGACCGAAGTTTGTACAGCCACATCAGGAGGAAGACAACAGTCAAGGACCAGGTAATCAGCCTGAGGAAGGAAGGTGGGGAGATCCAAGAACAAGCAAAGGATGCAAGGGGTCAAATGGAAATTTAAAGTATTTACAGTGGAGACAGAAAGGGCTCCGGGAAGTCAAAATAGGGAGGTACACCAACAAGAGATATACCAACAATTGCTGGATGAAATACACACAACCGAGGAGGAGGTGAAGAAGCTGCTACATGAACTTGATACCTCAAAGGTGGTGGGACCAGACATCTCTCCGTGGGTCCTTAGAGAGGGAGCAGAGATGCTGTGTGTGCCACTAATAATCTTCAACACATCCATTGAAACTGGACAACTACCTGAGGTATGGAAGACGGCAAATGTAGTCCCAATTTTTAAGAAAGGAGACAGACACGAGGCACTAAACTACAAACCTGTGTCACTCATGTGTATAGTATGCAAAGTCATGGACAAGATTATCAGGAGGAGAGTGGTGGAGCACCTAACAAGGAACAAGCTTATAAATGACATCCAGTACGGTTTCAGAGAAGGGAAATGCTGTGTCACAAATCTATTGGAGTTCTATGACAAGGTGATGGAAGTAAGACATGAGATAGAGAGAGAGAGAGAGAGGGGAGAGAGAGAGGGGAGAGGAGAGAGAGAGAGAGAGAGAGAGAGAGAGAGATGAGAGAGAGAGAGAGAGACAGACAGACAGAGAGTGAGAGAGAGAGAGAGAGAGAGACAGAGAGTGAGAGAGAGAGAGAGAGACAGACAGAGAGTGAGAGAGAGAGCGAGAGAGAGAGAGAGAGAGAGAGAGAGAGAGAGAGAGAGAGAGAGAGAGAGAGAGAGAGAGAGGAGAGAGAGAGAGAGAGAGAGAGATAGGTGGGCAGACTGCATTTCAAAAGCACATTTTCGTTGCTTTAAAAAAATCTCTTTAGCCTCACAAATATATTTGATTATATGTAGGTAACTATAAAAATTATTTGGGTAATTTTTAAAAAATAGAAATATCTCTAATATTAATTTGAGGCTCATTAATATATATTTAAATATTCTTACACTTGATTTTAGTAACGTTAAAAATATATTTAAGTTTGATAATTGATTTTCAACGATAGTGACATGACTTAGTAGGCCTAACATGGTCCAGTAGGCCTGCCTAACATGGTCCAGTAGGTCCTAGCACGATCCAGTAGGCCTGTCTAAGATGGTCTAGTGGGTCTGTCCAACATGGCCCAGTAGATCTGTCTAACATGATCCAGTAGGCCTGTCTAACACGATCCAGTAGGCCTGTCTAAGATGGTCTAGTAGATCTGTCTAACATGATCCAGTAGATCTGTCTAACATGATCCAGTAGGCCTGTCTAAGATGGTCTAGTGGGTCTGTCCAACATGCCCCAGTAGATCTGTCTAACATGATCCAGTAGATCTGTCTAACATGATCCAGTAGGCCTGTCTAACACGATCCAGTAGGCCTGTCTATATTTCTAATGGGTTGGACACTTGTTCAAAACTTGGTTACCTTCACTGTGGATACCTTTCGCCAACCAGTGGCTTCCTCAGTCCATTGGAGAAGAATACTTGAAAATCAGAAGAGTTTGAGGTAATCAGTCCCTCAACCTGGAGTCGATGTGATCAATCCACCAGTCTTGAGGGACCGATTACTTCAAACAACTTCTAATCTCCAACCATTCTTCTCTACTGGACTGGGGAAGCCACTGGATCGCTAAACGTTGCCTCGATTAATACACCCAAGTCTTACACATGTGCCTTATTTATCCTCCTGTCGGTTCTCTGAGACATTTATCTATATGTTCGTGTTTCAGGTTCGTGAAGGTTCACGCACCGTACGAGGTGTGTGCAAGGTACGCTGAAATACTCCACCTCCGCCTGCCCATCAAGAAGGTATCATATTTGATTCTTTTTCTCGTAAAGGGAACAATAGGGACCCAAAGATGATTATCAAGGTGTTTACTGAGAACAAAATGGCACAATACCATGAGTGGAACAATTCACAAATGACCCGAACATAGGAGACGGAGAAACTGAAAGGTTGTCATGAGCCTCTAACTCTCTGTTTACCTGGAGTTTACCAGGAGAGGATTTCGAGGGTCAACGCCCCCGCGGCTTGGTCTGAGACCAGGATTCATGGTGGATCAGGGTCTGTGTGGATAATTTGTGAATATTTATCGAGGTTATGTTTCGCCCACCAGGGTTTTCTTTAGTCCAAGAAAGTAGAGTGACACCTGAGGAGTCCCGTAGCTCGATCGGTAGCGCACTCAACTCACACACTGTGGTCCGGGGTTCAATTCCCCAGTACGGCAGGAAACACTGGGAAGCGTTTCCTTAAGACACCTGATTTCCATGTTCACCCATCAGGAAAATAGGTACCTGGGTGTTAGTCGACTGGTGTGGGTGGCATCCTGGGTGTTAGTGGACTGGTGTGGGTAACATCCTGGGTGTTAGTGGACTGGTTTGGGTCACATCCTGGGTGTTAGTGGACTGGTGTGGGTTACACCCTGCGTGTTATTGGACTGGTGTGGGTAAAATCCTGGGTGTTAGTGGACTGGCGTGGGTCACATCCTGGGTGTTAGTGGACTGGTGTGGGTCACATCCTGGGTGTTAGTGGACTGGTGTGGGTCACAACCTGGGTGTTAGTGGACTGGTGTGGGTCAAATCCTGGGTGTTAGTGGACTGGTGTGGGTCACATTCTGGGTTCTAGTGGACTGGTGTGGGTCACATCCTGGGTGCTAGTGGACTGGTGTGGGTCACATCCTGGGACAAAACTGACATAATTTGAGGGAAATGCTCAGCATAACAAGGTACTTTCTATATAGTAGTATGTCATTGATGTCAACTATGGTCTGTATACCTTGTACATGTATACCTTGTACATGTATACCTTTTACATGTATACCTTGTACATGTATACCTTGTACATGAATACCTTGTACCTGTATACCTTGTACATGTATACCTTGTACATGTATACCTTGTACATGTATACCTTGTACATGTATACCTTGTAGATGTATACGTTGTACATGTATACCTTGTACATGTATACCTTGTACATGTATACCTTGTACATGTATACCTTGTTCATGTATACCTTGTACATGTATACCTTGTACATGTATACCTTGTACATGTATACCTTGTACATGTATACCTTGTATATGCATACCTTGTGCATGTATACCTTGTACATGTATACCTTGTACATGTATACCTTGTACATGTATACCTTGTACATGTATACCTTGTACATGTATACCTTGTGCATGTATACCTTGTACATGTATACCTTGTACATGTATACCTTGAACATGTATACCTTTTTCATGTATACCTTGTACATGTATACTATGTACATGTATACCTTGTACATGTATACCTTGTGCATGTATATCATGTGGGGATCAATCTGTTCCACCAGTTGAGGAGAAAGACTTAGCTCCCACTGACTTCCCAGATGAAGTCAAGCGTTTGTTGACTCTGTTGAACAAACGTCGTAAAGCCATTGCTTTACCAGGTGAGAAGATGGGTATAACGAACTTATTGTCCCATCATATTCCACTTGAACCTGGTACTAGACCTATCTACATACCTGCGTACAGAATGCCTCATTCACAAGTTGCTGTCGCAGAAGAATTGATCAATCAAATGCTTGATGATGGAGTTATCGCACCTAGCAATTCACCTTGGAATGCACCCTTGATACTAGTACCTAAGAAGGATGGTACTTGGCGCCCAGTGATTGACTTTAGGAAGTTAAACGCGAAAACCATTCCAGATCGCTTTCCACTCCCTGTACTGGGTGATCTTTTACGTAATATCGGAGATAACAAAGTCTTTTCAACCCTAGATTTGTTACAAGGGTTTTGGCAAGTCCCTCTTCACGAGGACAGCCAAGAGCTAACTGCTTCTCCACTCCTACAGGTCATTATCACTTCCTCCGTATGGCGTTGGATTACGATCTCCCCTATCACGTTCTCAAGGCTCAGACTAATATCTTTAGAGGTCTCATAGGTAATGCACTTATGGTGTACTTAGATGACGTAATCGTCATGTCTAAAGACGTGGATACACACTTGAAAAGACTTGATGTAGTACTTGGTAAGCTTGAAGAAGCCAATTTAAGATCAAACTGTCTAAATGTCAATTTTTCAGATCAGAAATTAAGTTTCTTGGTCACGTAGTCACTCCTAGAGGGGTTACGACTGACCAAAGTAAAGTAACTGCAGTACTAAATTTTCCAACTCCCAAAACTCTGATGCCGTAAGATCCTTTGTGGGCTTAGCAGGTTTTTATAGATCTTTCATTGCCAATTTTTCTTCCATAGCTGCTCCTCTAACTGAGTTGCTTAAGAAAGATGCTCCTTTTGTTTGGACCTTCCATCAAGAAAGAGCATTCCAAACTCTAAAAGAAAAGCTAACATCTGCTCCAATTTTGAATTTCAGATTTTTCTAAGCCCTTCTATCTGACAACTGATGCTAGTTCAATTGGCATAGGTGCCGTACTAGCTCAGAAGACCGATGGCAAGTACAATGCAGTTGCATTAGCTAGCCGAGTCCTTACGAAGGCTGAACGTAATTATACAGTAACTGAGCAAGAAGCTTTAGCAATAGTATGGTCTTTAAAGCACTTCCGATATCAGTACTCGTTCATGTCTTGACAGACCATGCTCCACTGATACCCTTATTCCAGAACAAACAACCTACTGGAAGGTTAGCTAGATGGACCTTGACTATCCAAGAGTTCAATCCCACCTTTGAGCATTTACCTGGCAAGTCAAATGTAGTCGCAGATGCCTTATCGCGACATGTTAGTATAAACTGCAGACCCTCCATTTAGTGCTGAAGATGTAAAGAATGCTCAACGAACAGATCCCATGTGGTCTGGTGTGATTCGATTCCTGCTCCAGGAAGATCTTATTCTGACTGTGAAGCCACCAGCACCCATCAGTGACTTTGTCATGAACCAAGAATTACTGTATCGAACAGCCGAGTTAGGTACTCCTAGCAGAAGAGTATACCAGTTAGTAATTCCACAGTCACTAGTGAATGTAGCCTTACAGCTAGTTCACGATGTACCAGGTGTTGCACACCCTGGTATGGATCGTTCAGTAAAACAAGCCAGATTGAAATATTTTTGGCCTCGTATGGCAACTGATATTTCTGAGTATGTTAAGAAATGTAGTGTCTGCATGCAACATAAAGGCAATGCTAATGGTCCTAATCCAATCCAAGTGTATCCAACTACTAGTGAACCGTGGGAAAGAGTTGCGCTAGATTTGTTAACTAATTTCCAATGTGTGTTATGGTAGACCATTTCACCAGATATTGTGAGTTAGTTCCTATTGCAGATAAGACTGCCGAGACAGTAGCTAAAGCATTTAAAGAACGCATTATCTGCAGGCATACCACTCCTAAGTCCCTAGTAACAGATAATGGAGGTGAATTCTGTAATGAGATTCTTGAAAATTTGTGTACCTTGTACAAGATCTCTAAATCCACCATTGTTCCTCATCATCCTGCCAGCAATGGGTTAGCGGAACGAACCAATAAGAAAGTACTTGATGTCTTGAGAGCCACTCATCAATTCCCAACAGTGAAACTTGGGATGAAGTTATACCTGATGTGCAGTGTGCTATAAATTCTGCTTACAATGTTTCTATAGGTGACACTCCACATTATGCATTGTATGGTGTAGATAAACGTTTGCCTTATGAGTTGTTATATTCTAATCCGAAACCAAATTACAACCCTGATGATTTCATAGCAACTCGTACCAGCTTAGCTCAAAGTGTTTTTATGAAGAATCCGGTGAAACACTTCATAATCAACAGCTGAATTTACAAGAGTCGCAAACACTCGAGCAAAGCCGTCCAAAATCAAAGTAGGTTCGAGAGTTATGCTGACTAACTTTAACAAAACGTCTGCAATGCCAAAGCTTGATCAAAGTTTGTTGGTCCTTATCGAGTAGTTGAACATATCACTGGTAATAAGTATAAGGTTAGAGAGATTAGTACTGGTCAGTATAAAGAATCGCATTTAGATCATATGAAGTTAGTATGTGATGATAATGATGTTTCCAACCCAGACTAATGTGACAGACTCTGAAAATCCTCCTGATCCTGTACTCTCTTCCTCTGATACTCAGTCAGACGATCAACCTGAATGTCGTTATTCCCTACGTACACGACAGGTATTGAGAAATCCTCAAATATCATTTGTAACTTCCAATTCAGATTTGCCTCAAATACAGCATGAGTTAGCCAATGCTACAGAGTTTGATCCTCCCAGAGATGACACCCATTCTGCATATGTCAATCTTACCCTAGCAGAGTTGGGGTTAAATGTAAATAACCTGTATAGATGAATAATTACAGTATCAACTTATCAGTATTCAAGAATTTTTTTTTGACCTGCCTCCTTGCTCACTCTCGTATCACTGACTGACTGCCTGGCCGCCCAGTACCCATATGTGAGAGGGTCTTATGCCAGGTCAGCACAATATGAATATATGAATAGACAGTGACTCAGGCAGAGACGGTTGGTCGTGAGTCAACTGGCACAGTGGTTACTGGTAACTGGTTACTACTACTGAGATGTATACCTTGTACATGTATACCTTGTACATATATACCATGTACAAGTATACCTTGTACATGTATACCTTGTGCATGTATACCTTGTACATGTATACCTTGTGCATGTATACCTTGTACATGTATACCTTGTACATGTATGCCTTGTACATGTATACCTTGTACATGTATACCTTGTACATATATACCTTGTAGATGTATACGTTGTACATGTATACCTTGTACATGTATACCTTGTACATGTATACCTTGTACATGTATACCTTGTACATGTATACTTGTACATGTATACCTTGTACATGAATACCTTGTACCTGTATACCTTGTACATGTATACCTTGTACATGTATACCTTGTACATGTATACCTTGTACATGTATACCTTGTACATGTATACCTTGTACATGTATACCTTGTACATGAATACCTTGTACCTGTATACCTTGTACATGTATACCTTGTACATGTATACCTTGTACATGTATACCTTATACATGTATACCTTGTACATGTATACCTTGTACATGTATACCTTGTACATGTATACCTTGTACATGTATGCCTTGTACATGTATACCTTGTACATGTATACCTTGTACATGTATACCTTGTACATGTATACCTTGTGCATGTATACCTTGTACATGTATGCCTTGTTTACCTGGAGTTTACCTGGAGAGAGTTTCGGGGGTCAACGCCCCCGCGGCCCGGTCTGTGACCAGGCCTCCTGGTGGATCAGCGCCTGATCAACCAGGCTGTTGCTGCTGGCTGCACGCAAACCAACGTACGAGCCACAGCCCGGCTGATCAGGAACTGACTTTAGGTGCTTGTCCAGTGCCAGCTTGAAGACTGCCAGGGGTCTGTTGGTAATCCCCCTTATTGTAGTAAATAAAGATTATTAATATTACAAGTTGATAAGCAAGCCACGTACGTGTGCAGCAGTTCGACATCTGTTTGTGTTGCCTCCGAATTCGACTGAAGAAGTCTACTGAGTTGGCTAAATGTTGCACATGTTTCAAGAGAATGTTAGTTTAAGATATGTAAATTGCATTGCCAGGTATGTTGAGAGGAGAAGAGAGGGGCTATAGATGGGTGTGGGTTGCATGGACGAGATTCCTTTTGCTAGCATTTCTTTTACAATGACACTCCCTGTGTTCTGGTAGGGGGAGGGGTGATTCAACACCATCTGTTGGTACGAGTTGTCTGCCTGATTCCATTACCTTTGTAACTTGTGAGCTCATTACCTCTGTACCTAGTTCAGCTATCAAAACTTTGGGGGCCCAGTCCCTGGACCAATTATGTACCTCTGTAATCTGTAAATACCTTTGTAACTTGTCATGATTGTGACCAGACCTACCTGGAGTTCATTACCTTTGTAAATTGTGAGTTCATTACCATTGTAACTTGCTCAGCTATCAAAACTTTGGAGTCCAGTCCCTGGACCAATTATGTACCTCTGTAATCTTTTGACTACCGCCCACAGGATGGGTATGGGGTGACTACCGCCCACTGGATGGGTATGGGGGTGACTACCGCCCACTGGATGGGTATGGGGTGCATAATAAACATATTAAACTAAACTCCCTGATGACTAGCTTGGCATTCATGAACTCCATGAGATGTCCACATGTTTAGCCATGAATGATCCAAGCGTTAGTCAAATCATTCACTTGGTAAGTGTTCATAGACTCACTATGTAATTTTTGTAATACTTCCAGAGGTTGCACCAATGTAAATTTTGTTACATGAACCACAGGGTTTTTCACTCGTATGAGGCCCCGAGTTGTCGTTTACTACAGACATAATATACAACTACGGAATGATGTAGATCAGATATCTTTGCAGTGATGTATGATTTTAGCTGTGGTGTGTTGATACATAAGTATGTATATAAATATACATGCATCTCTACACGAATACATACACAGGAGCTACTATATTACAAATAATTTACCTATTTTCAGAATATTTCCTGGGTGGCCTGGTGGCCTGGTGGCTAAAGCTCCCGCTTCACACACGGAGGGCCCGGGTTCGATTCCCGGCGGGTGGAAACATTCGACACGTTTCTTTACACCTGTTGTCCTGTTCACCTAGCAGCAAATAGGTACCTGGGCGTTAGTCGACTGGTGTGGGTGGCATCCTGGGGGACAAGATTAAGGACCACAATGGAAATAAGTTAGACAGTCCTCGATGACGCACTGACTTTCTTGGGTTATCCTGGGTGGCTAACCCTCCGGGGTTAAAAATCCGAACGAAATCTTATCTTACAGCTAGAGTTATAATATTTCGTCAGTATTGTCTACCATTCTTGTACAAGACAGACACTGTAGAGATGTATCGGATGTGAAAATTTAGATATCAGCGGATGTGGATATGTATGAGGATGTCTTACTTATTTGGTGGATGTTGATGCGGATGTAAGAAATTGTGCGGATGCTCTGCAGATGTGGATGTGGATATCCGATATATCACTAACAGACAGTCCTCGATGATGCACTGACTTTCTTGAGTTATCCTGGTTGGCTAACCCTCCGGGGTTAAAAATCCCAACAAAAATCTTATCTTACCAAGTTGAACTTTGACTCTCAAAGATCGAGGTGGCGTAAGTTTATCTAAAGAAATGATCATTACTCTTTTCACTCTGACTCTACACAGAGCAGGTTGAGTATTAACATAATATTTAACTACAACTAATGCAAATTTACCATTTTTTTATTTCAGGAAGTGAGATTTGATGTATCTGCGTCCTCATGCACATATAAAAATATTTTCCGACCCATCCAGTCAGACAGGAACGTCATAAACCAAGACAGTAGAGTCCCCACTGCTGTCTACTCTAACAGCAACAAATATCTGTAAGTCTCTTTTGAGTCTATAAATTTTGCATTTTCCATAGTTATTTGCAATGTAATTGTTGATCTTACTCTTTGTACTTGCTACGTGTTCTATATTGTTCCTCGGGTGTGGAAGTGTGAATTGCTCATTACTCTATAATTTGTTCATGATTGTAGCCAAAGTATAAACGTAAGTAACCATTCTACAGAATTCATTACCTTTGTAACTTGTGAGCTCATTACCTTTGTACCTAGTTCAGCTATCAAAACTTTGGGGGCCCAGTCCCTGGACCCATTACGTACCTCTGTAATCTGTAAATGCCTTTGTAACTTGTCATGATTGTGACCAGACTTACCTGGAGTTCATTACCTTTGTAAATTGTGAGTTCATTACCTTTGTAAATTGTGAGTTCATTACCTTTGTAAATTGTGAGTTCATTACCTTTGTAAATTGTGAGTTCATTACCTCTGTAACTTGCTCAGCTATCAAAACTTTGGAGTCCAGTCCCTGGACCAATTATGTACCTCTGTAATCTTTTGACTACCGCCCACAGGATGGGTATGGGGTGACTACCGCCCACAGAATGGGTATGTGGTGACTACCGCCCACAGGATGGGTATGTGGTGACTACCACCCACAGGATGGGTATGGGGTGACTACCACCCACAGGATGGGTATGGGGTGCATAATAAACATATTAAACTAACTAACTAACTAACTGCGTCATATAATCTGTGTTCTCTACCTGTTCTTTATAGTTCCATGTTATCTCCCAACACTTAGTCTTATTTATGTTATTAAGACTTTTTTAATATAAATTATAAACTGTCCAGTTAGTTAAGTACATAATTTAA